TTACTTTTACCGCACAACAGAATTTTATACGAGGAATTTACAAACAATTTCATATAACAAACTTAAAAAAAGCAATATACGCTACACTGTTTCACGTTTCTTAACAATGAATTTCGACTGTTTGTTTATTTATTAGAATTTTTTGTGTATTATCCATACAATCCATACAATCTAAACAAATCATAAGAGATACATAATATTCGCACATAATTCTATAACTGTTAATTTTACTATGAAATTTGTTGATACACACTGACACTGTGTCAGACAACGAAAAAATGACAACACAAGTGTCATATATTCTCAACGAGGCAGTAAAAGCGCAGACAACAAAATAGGTAAGAAGTGTATCATGACGACATGAAAGACTTCTCAACAAAAAATTACCAAATTCACTGTAACCAAATGAAGGACAGAGATAAATGACGTCGTTTACCACTTATCCTCTATCCAGTTACCCATATTGCCACATGTTGTAGGGCCATCTTATATTAACTGAAATTTTCCTTTGACTGAAATTTCCTTCTTAAAAATGTATCATTTCTTTTTTTTTTTTCGGAAACAATAGTCATTCAATGAAAGCTTTGCACAAAGAACTGTCTAATTTACAGCTCTTTTATTTGCAGGTATTTATAAAGTATACACCTATGTTTAAGTTCAGAACGAAAATTTTTTTTCTAATGCTTTGCTGCGTCTTTCGTCTTTTCGACATCCACATTCTGTTTTGGGAAAATAATTATACAATTCTTGTCTCCAAAATAGTCAAATATAACATTGATTTAAATAATCAGGACAATACCATTTTGTATTATTTTATTATTTTTATAAATCTATACAAATATCAATAGCAGTCAATTTCCCGTAGCGTGGTAAATACGTCAAGAAATTTACTCCACTGTTGTTGTGCCAAGACAAAGTAACAATCAAGAAAATAAATAATTTGTTAGGGTTATCTTTTACTTGAAATACATCATTAAAAGTATAAATGAGGGTTTTTCCTGTAGGTCATATTAAAATACATTTCCCTTTAAGTACCTACCAAGTACAATCTTATCACCCCATTTATCGCTTAAGCTTCGGTTGTAAATACAAGTCGTAAAATTTATCTTTCATGGAGCGATGTTTCAGGCAGAAAATTTTAGAATTTTTGAATTATCAAAAGGGAAACAAACGATTTTGGATGTATAATCGTGTAAACAAAATTTCAACAAAATCTAGAGCTTCCGCCTTACTTCATTTTCCGATAATACATGAAGCGAACCACTGGCAACTAACTCATTTGTAATTACTGAGTGCACTTGCAACTAATCTAAAAAGAAGAAGCGAAACTTCTCGTCCACAACGTAAGTACTTTGTTCCAGATCAATACAGCCGCAGGACAAACTTTGTCGTTAAAGTATATGTGATCTGTACCAAGTTTAAGAAAAATGATGAGCAGCATATGTGGACAGTTTTGAAAGTGTCGTAACGGTTACCAAATTCGTGTTGCGATCACTGACTGTAACAGTTATATGTAGAATAAAATCATATACCTAACATTCTAAATTACTACACTTTTTAAAAATTAATACCTAAAGTTTCACGACAGCTCTTCGACATGACGTGAATGATTAAGTAAAGAAACTGTCTAAAGTTTCTAAAAGATAAGTTTGCAGTGGTTAGTTCGCAGTAGAAGTAGAAAAATATATCCAACCCACAAATGGGACTTTTTTTGTTAGGTTCTTTGACACTTCATAACTTTCGTTGCAGTTATCTATTACAGGAAAACATTGTTACATTTTGTGTAATTAAAACTAGAATTAATACTGGAACTTAAATTTCATAAACAAAATTCGAGTTATTTTACATCATCATAGTACTTAATTAGAGTTGTTCCTAATAAAAAAAGAACATTCCGTACAAAACCACAAATATTTTGTGAAAATAAAATCGTTTTAAAAATAAAGTCAAGAACCGAAGCGTAGAAAGACATCGTCTCTACATTTGCAGTTTGATTGCTATTTAACATGTATTTCGTTCCATTTGGCATTTTGTAGTAAGAAAGTAATGCATTTTAAATGTAATCTGAGATGCAGGGAAAGAAATTTTTACAAGAACATTAATATTTTACAAACCACCGCAACAAAAACGAAAAAGTTAAGTGAACAAATTATGCATAATAAAATCATAAATGTTAGGTGCCTCACATTGTATTTCAAGAAAATACTTGAATTACCGGTAAAGATAATTACAGCAAAATTTAATTGAATATTGAATAATATAGAATAACAGAGACAACGGTTTAAAAGTATCTGCCTCCAAGTAACGCCCCCGCTTCACAACCGAGTATATTCGCTATATAACGTTTTTTTATTTTTCTAAAAAAAAAAACATTATATGGAATATTAACATTAGGATTTCGTAAAATTTTTGACAGTGAATATAATTTTATTATCTACATCCATATGACAAGCATGTGATGTCAAAAATACTACAGATAATAATTAAATATAGAAATATTTTCGTCTATTAAATAAAAAAGTGCTCCTTTGTTTTGTGGAAATGATAAAAAAAATGCAATTCTCACGTTAGTAACACCAGTTACCAACCACGTTATCAAAATAAATAAGGTCACGTTTCATTTAATATTTTTTATTCTTCTTCAGTCATTAGTCTTCGTAACACACCCCATACCTGTTTTTCGCTTTCACAGGTACTAAATTCGCAATTGCTTTTGCAAACATTCGAGATCTTCGGAATTATATGTAACAGAATCGTTGTTATGGCAATTACATGATCATCATAACTCAAAAATTAATTTTGAAATTCTGCTTTAAACCATTAACAGTGACTACACGAAAAAAAAGCACGTTCAAATGCGTAAGTGTGTTTTCCACGTTCGCGTAAAAGTTAATTAGCTCGCTTTGCTCCTTAATTAAACCTTTTATACTTACTGGAAAACTACCACTTTTCTTTACGTATTAAACAATCAACTATTCCTTAACAGTCAACTAGGTATGTAAAAAGTACTTTTCAAGTTACAAGTTTTATTTGAAATTAAAATGTGGGGATCGACATGTGACTATATTTTGCATACATTCCGCTTACCGTTTTAATTAATTTGTATCCCAACTACATAACTAATAAGGAAGCTAATTTGTCTGTTAAACTAAATGCATGTCGCACAGTAAATAAACTTTAAAAAGTAAATTTCAGTTACTGTGTATAATAATTTAAAACAATTAGAACAACTATTACATAAAAGGGAAAGTTACAATTTTTAATGAATATAGTTTTTCTCAAATTTGTAGAAAAACTTAGCTTTCGTTATTGACGGCTAAAGTAAACATAAATCTTTGTAAAAGTAAGCTTACTTAGGCTACTCACATGAGATTAATTACACTTTGACTGAAAACAAACGCACGCATTCACTTCTTGATTAAGACTACGTTGCACCTAAATGAGATTTAAAAGAATAGTTCACATGAAGGTAACAGGATTCTTTGTTATTATAAACATATTTCTTCTTTCTTTTATATTCAAATTAAAAAAAAAAGGCATTTAATTAAGACCCACGCTAAAGGTACATAAATCTGTAACGTTGGTCCTAACGCAGCGAAAAATTATTTACCTACGAACTTGGATTTCGCTGTTATTAGAAAAAGGTATAACTACCTTCCAGTTCCTCGAATTAAATCGCAAATAGCGACAATTTGTACAAGAAGGAAATTTAAAGGTAAAACTTACATAAACGTATCTTGCAATAAGATATTCCGGTGTGTTACTGTTAAGCAATGGAAATTACAATATGTACGCTTTCACTAGTCTGTTATTAAAGACACCAATCGACTGTGCACTAAAACAAAATGTAACCAGCATTGTGAACGGATGCCAATAAAGTACTCACTCACTGTACTGTGTAATATTGTCCATTGTCTACTAAAATATATCGAATATAACATCGGTGAGTGGAGACAGAACACATCTATATTCTGTGCAGCACAATCTTTTAAAATTCAAATGCTTATTCAATAGTAAACATGTAATTTCTGTAGATTTTTCCCTAGCGGATGTTTGAAGCTAAATTTAAACTATTTATATTGGTCCTTAATTTGCAATGCGGAAAAGTTAATCAGTGCAAACAGTGCGTATGCAAATGCTACGCAGTGAGAGTTGCTGACGTTTAATGCTAATCAAAATTCATAAATTCACCCTTTTACCCTCTCACAATTTTAGACATGTTTTATGTGTTAATATGAAATGAAGTTTCAGCTTCTGCCTAGTGAAATACTACGCTTCAAACATTTCGTGAGATTCTAATTAAATAACGAAGTTAAATAAATATATTATCATATTTACTCGTATATTTCTTAAACATTTCGGTGCAGAAATGTAGGTACGTGTGTAACTAAAAATGGGAGTTAAAGAGCATTCTAACTTTTCCCGCAAGTTTGTGCTGTCTCTACTTAATGAAATAATGTGAGCATTTACTCTTAATTATCTGGAACGTCGTTAGATATAATACGATTTCAGGAGGGTTCCGAAAGAGCACGCCCTTAATTATTTTTTAAGGACTTTACGATAAAATTAAAAGATAAAATAAAACCTGAACTTTAAAAATACAATAAAAATGTGAGCCTTTATCTTTTGACAATAGCTCAAAATTATCTTCTTTTGAGTTAACAATATCATGACCAAGATGAAATTAAAAGCAGTTAGTAGATAATCTTTAATTACTAAATGTGAAAATTCGGCATCAATAACGGGTTCACAAAGCAACAGTTCATAGCGTGTGCACGCAGTGTCCACTATAAATGCATGTTAACACCGACACCAGTAGTAGTAGTTACGTACGTGAACTGTTAACGAATGCCCGTCATTTATTTCAAACTGTGTTTTATCTATCTCCGCATTTACTTCATGGAATGCGTGTGTATGTTATACAAGGTTTTGAATATTAAATCACCGTAAATGATTTTAAAATGCATTTTCATGAACGTGAAATATTTGATTGAACTCACCTTCATCCTCGACGTCGTCGTGAGCAACACTGCACTCTCTGCAGACAGCCGTCCGTTGTCCTCGCCTGGCGATCTGTTGCAAAGCCAACAGTTGCTGCTCTTCCAGTTCCATATCTTTGTATCCTTCCGGCGGACTCAAAGTCACCGCATCGACAAACTCCAACGGAGGTGCAAATTTGGGACTCTGCGGTGTTTGATCGTAACCATCGTACACATTACAGTTACAATTTGGTTCACAGCACGTCAATCGCACCATTTCATGCTGATTGCAGGTACAGACACCATCATCATCTTCGTCGTCGTAGTCGCATTCTTCCCGTATCAAGATAATGTAATCGGCGTCAAAAAATTCGTTTTTGTTTTCGTTAAACACCACTCTGTTGCTCCTCTTATCTTTGCCCTTCCCCGGTCTTTTAAGTAACGACTTTAAATTGTCTCTGTCCGGGTTATGCTTAGCTCTTTCGCCGTCAATCCCCATGTTGTTGGCGATGTTTACTCTGGTAATTAAATGGTGTTCTTTTTCGCAGTCACTATCATCGTCAAGTTCATCGTACACCTCCCAGTAACCGTTGAATCCTGAGAACGTGTCGACCTGCCGCACGTCGAACTCGCAGAAATCTCCTGCTGTAAAATCTACCGTATCAGTTCCTTCCGGTATTTCAACGTCGTTTTCGCTATCTCCACTTTTACCTTCTGTCGCGCTAACAGACTTTTGATTCTTTAAGATATTCTGATTAGCGTCGTAATCCGGCCCCTTATTGTCCTGGATTGTTGACGATTTATCGACCACCTGTTCTATGGTCTTACACTTCTTACTTTTGTGATCGACATCGACATTTTTGCTTTTCGCAAGCTCATCCGAAGACTCCTCATCAGTGATTCCGGCCTCCTTCAGTTTTTGTTCTAGGTACTTGAGACGTGACCTATTCTCATCTATCCTCTTATTGAGGTGTTTGCTGTAAAGAACTTTATTTATTTCGTCGTTGTCTTGGGAATCCGACTGCTCGTCGCTGTCATTCTCGCCGACCTCAGCAGATTCTCGTCTATTTGTTTCAGCAGCTTCCGAATTTACACCATGATTTTCATCGAACACCAAGCGGCCGTCTTTGAACCTCCAGCTCAGATGTTCGGAGGCTGGACTGTTTACGTCGCTGTTTTCGCACGAATGCTGGCCGCTGGTTTCACTTTCGTTTAGTCTGAACGCGCCGAGGTTTTGCCGGGACTTCGAGTTTGCTTGGGCCTTGGAACCACCATCGGCGGAGTCTGTCCCGTTCTTTGTTCTTCTGGGATCAGCACAGATGGAATTTTGTTGACCTGGATCGAGCGCGACGCAGACCTTGGCGGTCGAAACGCGACTGCACCCCGACGCCTGTGCGCATTTTGCGACGCCGATTTCGATCGATGGTCCCGTCGGCTGGTCCGCGCACGGACGACGTACACACACATCGCAACCGCTCTCCGGTGAACCGGGCAGATTCTCTGCGTCACCTTCACCCGCGCACTCGACGCTTCCAATGCTACTCGAAGCAATGTTTGTCTTAGCACCCTCAATTACGCGACGGTCCCGTTCATTCGCTTCGGGTCCATTCATTCCGGCACGAGCGGAGGCACCCACGTCGTGCTGAGCCGCCACCGCACCGCTACACTCGGCTGATTCAAGGACTTCGTTTGTCGTACCAGCGACGTTTGTCTTGGGAGATTTTTTTTCGTTCCCGCTGGATCCACCGGATCCTGTATCAGCGTTGTTGCGGGTCGCGGCTGCACATCTACCCTCATAGTCATTTCTTGTCGTACCAACATTTCCTTTCGCGCGGAACACTGCGTCGTTCCTACTAGATCCACTCATTCCGGCACGGATGGACGGACCCACGTTGTGTTGGGTCATGACTGCACCGCTACACTCGGAAAATGCGTGGTCACTGCTTGTGGTACCGCCAACGTTTGTAGTAGTACCTCCAATCGCGCGACTGTCAACCTGGACGTTGTTTACACCGTTACACTTGAACAACGTGTGGTCATCGCCGGTACCAGCAATGTCTGTCTCAGCGCCTTCAAATGCGCGAGGGTCCCGTCCGTTCCCGGCGGGTCCCTTCATTCCGGCACGAGCAGAGGGACCCACATTGTGTTGGGCTGCGACCGCACCGCTACACTCCGACAATGCGTGGTCGCTGGCGCCGTGACTAGCACACGAACTTGCCGATTTTCCTACTTCCACCGTCCGAATTTGTCGTGCATCGCCTTCGTCCTCTTCTACTGCTCGTCGGTTCGTATCACCGGTTTCCGTTGAACATGCATTATCGCAGTCACGGTAGGACGACCCCGTGTGACGGTCTTCCGGTTCACCGATATCTACCTGTTCACCACCGACTTCCTCGCCCAAGCACCGAAATTCCTCAGGTGCTTCCAGTATGGGAACGTCCAAGTCGTCCGAAGCCAGCGGTGCCCTCGGACTCAACGACGTGAAACCGAACGCACTGCCGACGTCGCCAGTGTCGTGGTTCGTCGATAAGTCCTTAAAGATATCCCTGAAATCTTGAAAAGACTGCTCAATTAAACGTCGTTCGAGTAAAGCTTCCGAGGGATTTAATCCTGTTTGTATTCCATTTGCGTCTTCGGTGTTCGATCGGATCGATGTTAACCCTCCCAGTATTGGCAATCTATAGCGTTCCGATACCTCTTCACCAACCGCAGTTCCGTTTTCACAGACCTCAGCCAAATCCCGGACCGTATTATCATAGTTGGCCAGTGATTTCGAATTTGCATTTTTATGGGCAAATGCACCTGACTCGTCAGCTGTGGCTAGGCCGGCAAGGTCTTCGTTGGACTGGGGCACCTGCGATCAATGGCACAACGGTGATGATAATAATCATTATAACAATTTATTTTATACACATTTTGAGTTAAACATTAAATCGCACGAGTTGTTAAGTTATAACTTAAAATATTCATTTTAGATGCAGCGATGAATTTAAATATTGTTTTTGACAGGTGCGATAGTTTCTATGTGACTGTCGAATCTAAGCGTAAATTTAATCATGGACAACAATGTGATCATAAACGATATATTTTTTAACAATGACATACGAATACGTTTCTCTTTTTATTTTATTTTCTCCAAGTAAATGCAACAAAAAAATATTTGCTAAATATTGAACTAATTTCAAACTTGTATATTAATCTCTCACAACTACAGAGTTACATAATCAATTTTTACAAATATTTTATTTTATTTTATTTAAAATTGAAAGCATTTTACTATTGAATTGAAAATTGAAACTTTAGGGATAATAATAACCAAATATTAGAATTCATAGTAATAATTAATATTATTTATTGATATGCTATTAATACTCTCAATTAAAGCCATTTGAAGTATCACAAAAAACTGTTATAATAATATTCGCTATTCATATCTGTATATTTTTAGTAACATAATTAATTTTTTGTGTAAGGAGTAAGAGCACTATTTTTTATATTTACGTTGTTTGCCTACTTGTTAGTACTCAGTGGGATAAACATTTAACTTCTACTTTATTTTACTTTGTTTTAGATGTGATATAAACTTAAAACTACTAGAATGATGAAAACAATTTTAAATATATGTACTTCTTCTTTGACGCTGTTCATAGAAGCCTTAGACACGTTCCGATGGTAGCGAACACCACTCACGCATTTTTCACGGTACAGGACGGAATCATATTTAAGAAAGCATATTTTTACTTTATTTAAAACACGAAAAACGACAAAACAAATGAAAAACACAACTGTCGTTCTCATTAGTAAATTGTATGAATCAGTTCCACAAAATTATTGCATTATAATAATGCAACACAATAAAGTTAACATCCAAATACAGCGTGGCAATCTTTGGAAGGCGACAAAGAGACAACAGTATTATTGTAAAACGATATTTTGCTTCTCATTTTTTCTGAACATGTCACGAATGAAACTTGTTTTGTGTTGCAGGAAAAATCCAGACTGAAATACGAAAAAAAAGTCGGTCATTATCAAACTTGCTATCTATAGCTACAATAAATAACAATAACCAACTGTTATTTTTATTGCTTTTTAAATTTTTTACTTGGGTGTTTTGCGTCCTTTAATTTCTTGGATTTTATAATTGTAATAAAAATATGAACAGCTTCTAAAACGTTAGAAGAAATCTCGTCTACAGCTTTGAATTTATTACAACAACATCAATAATAAAATACAACAAACTAAACTTTGAATAAAAGCATTTGACAAGTTGACAACTGTTTTTTAACAATGAAGGTAAACTGCAACACTCATCTTAAATACGTCCCATTCATTGTGTTTAGAAAATAAATTTGTTGCTTTCAGTTTCAAGGAAAAAATATATAAGCCGCAGCAATTCAGACTAAATGTGGATCTACAGTAAAAAGAATTCATATTTAAAACATCTTAATTAACTTTCACATGAAAAAATTTGGAATAAATGTTAATAACATATTAATATGTTACAGTCAACATGGCAAAATCTAGAAAATAAGAATATTTGCACGGAATACAAAATTCGTCCGCAAACACACGTAATTTGCATAAAGAATGTCTCCAACATAAATAATTTCCAATGAACGAGAATCAAGATCAGACGCGTCAATATTTTGTGGGACTAGACAAGCTCTTGTAAACGAAAACTTTTCTCCATAACAAGAAATAACTTTGTTCACGGTGACATCTCATATCACACTCATATCCTAAAATCTTGTTAAGATATGAGCGTTCGACGAAAATTCAAGAGATTTCAAATTCAACCGTATTTTCCAATCCAATTTTCTAAAAAGGACCTACGACTGTGCGACGCAATTAACTCCACCTTTAAATGACATTTTATTTACAACTACATCCATTATTTTCATTAATGTCTGCGAGTTACAAAGTTTTTCAACGTAAAACAAAGGAAAAAGTTTGAAGGCGTCATAGACGATGATCTTTTTGGTAGAAGTTGGCAAAGTTTTTTTCGTTATAATTGATATTAGCTTAGTCAGACAAAACATTTTGTTGGGCCTTTTATGGAATTTGCAAACAGTTTTTTTTTATCTCTTTGATAGTTAACACATTTTTGACCAGAAATAAACCACTCTTACCACTATTTTTCTAAAACCACTTTCACAGTTCAAGTAACACATGACGTTCTTGTTAGATTGCAATATGGTCACTTGTTCAGTTATTTCTTACATTTCAAAGGTGATTTTCTCGTCATTATACATATAGTACACTTACTGATACTTAATTTTATCGTTTGCTACAGTTCAAGAATTGTTGTCGTTGTGTATTTTGTACTCTATTGCAAACATGTTTAAAGAGAACTATCCACAATTTTAATATCATTTATAAAAAAAAGTGTACTCTAACATATGTGTTGTTACTCGTTTCTAATGACAATATACATACCTGTTCCAAAGAACGTTTTGTAACCGAATGATAGCGATTAACATGCTGACCTTAAGAACTCGCTGTGTATTTAATTTAATAACATTTCTCAGCATATATATTTGAAACTTTCTGCATGGATTTATAAAGAAACATAGTTTATAATGCATAAAATATACAAAAATCTAACTAAAATTACTACTTTATAGAAATACAAAAATTGTAATTTACGTTAGTCGTTTTTGTCAATATGAAGTATCAGTCAAAATTTAAATACTTAATAAATATATGTATATGACTAGAGCGAACAAAATGGAAAAGCTAATGTATGATTCATTAATATTTATTTAACTGCAATTCATTTTCAGATATACTTATTTAAAAAGGTAATTTTAAGATTGCTAGTCTGTGTTAACTACAGAAATAGGACATTATTTCGTAACGATAACAAACATAACGAGGCAGTCTTGAAAACATTTTGAAGACCAATTTCAAGAGTTGTAACAATTTAACTGGCACCAAGTTCTAGAAATCTTACTAGTGGTGATTTCCGGAAACAATTCCGAATTCAGGATTTCGAAAAAATCGATACGTGATTGGATGACACGTTATAAATATTCAAATTAGGTTCATCTGAGTTCATAAAATGCGATTTTCAAACAAATCAGTCTACTTAGATTACAATAACGACTAACAATAACAATAGCCGCTGTAGTTTATAGTAAATTTTCATTACCTTCGACACAAATGGGAGTTTAACTTGCCGGACGGGTATTTTCGATACTCGTTTGTCTTTTAATTTCTTCGGATCCTGGCTGTCTATTATGACATCCGTCTGCGAATCTTTGATAGCATGGTAGTTATTATGAGTTTTATCAAACTCTGGATTTTCTTTCGATTCCGCTCCACTGTCGCCGTCCCCGCTCTCCCTCGCTTCTTCGGAAATAGGGGAAAAATTGAATTCGTCACTCATCAAATTTACATCCGGAGTGATGCTCTCGGAATCGTTGCTCGAAGTTACTACGTCCATGTTTTCGAGCTTCATTATCGAACGGTGCGGAAGCGAAAATGCAAAAAATTGTTATCCATTGCGGTTTTTGCTTGTAGTCACATACTTCTGCGACGGCGATAAAAATTTCTGACCTCAAAAACGTCGCCACTCGTTCATTTTGAGAGACACTGCAGCATTTCTGAAATGGAAAACATGTACGTTAAATTATGAAATTTTGTCTAAACTGTTTCTACTTCGTGGAAATGAAATGTTATTTTCACCTGGTTTTGTTTCAAAAAGTGAATTGTCATTAATTTAAACTACACTGACCGGCAAAAATCTGGCCATCCTGAAAAATTTCGCAAAACCACTTTAAAAATTATTAATTTAACTAGTGATCGTTATTTTATTAAAGAACCATTGACTATTGACACATGATGCACAAATTAGCAAAAAAAAGAAGACAAATAAACGCAGAATTAAATTTAATTTAACAAAATAACAAAAACAGACCTAGTACGATATTTTCTTAATTAAAACAACAAAGGAGGGTGTTGTTGTAAACAGTGTTTTTCATCATTTCATTATAAGTTTGGCAGTTAATAAACGTTTTCACGCGAAAACAATCCCCTTAACTCTTACAGATGTCTCTCAAATTGTCGTTATTCAATAACGACGTGGGTGTTCTCACATTTTCTAGAAAATGAGGATCTTAATTTGATCAATAAAAAATTGGTCGAAGGCTATAAGTATAATCCGACAAATCCAGCTCTTTAAAAAAATATATAAAACTTGAAACGGGAGACTACATTTTTCGTACCATAGGCGTAATGAAACGTCCAGAAAACATAAAAGTGGCAATTCGTCCGATAGGCTCGATTACTATACTTCCTTAGCTTACGCTCGGGAAGTAATAATGTTGAGAAAAACGTAAAACTCGAAACCGGTTCACAAAATTTAGTAAAAATCTATACTATAAAAATCCATATGTAATTTGTTTCACCTACCATTCAAATTCATTAAAAACAGTAGATAATTATAACGGGTGATCAAAGAGTTTTCAGATTAAAGTTAGCCATGGAATTATGACAAATATTTCTATGGCCAACTCTAATCTGAAAACTTTTTGATCACCCTTTATATATTTCAGATCTAAAATATTGGATATATAAATGATTTTCGACACAGTTCTGCAATAAGTCACCTTTGTTAAAAAAAAAAACAGTTGTCGTCATTTATGATGACTTATGATGACTTTATTATCTCTGTCTTTAGTTAGTAAATAGTAAATCTCTTGGCTGAATTTTGATTCTTCATTCAATGGTAAAAAAAGTTTCGGAAAAAGATCTCAAAGAACATGTTTTTTTTTTATTTTTTCCAAATTTGTTTATTATATTGAACAATCGTGAGGCTTCGGTCTTAATTACATACTTATAAATAAAAGTTACCTTACCTTACATAACCTACTGTACTGTTGTTTAGATCATTAAACTGGTTTGGAGAAGTTAGGAAGTTTATTCTAATATCGAAATGCAGTAAAATATACATAAGTTGGATAAAATGTATACCAAAATATTCGTTATCTAGATAACAATCGAATCATTTGAATTTCTAGGTAAAAACAATATATTTATACCAGAACAATACGTTTACGAAGTAGAAAGGACAATTAAATATAAAATACTGTTTATTCGCCAATTATTCTAGAGTAAGTTGTATGTGATGCAGTTACCTTAGCTTTAAAATAATAATAAAAATAATAACAGCAGCAAGCTTTCCATATAGGTGGTTGAAATATGTGCCAAATCAAAATAAAAGTTATTTACTGAAAACATAAAGTATCTGTGGGAAAGAGGTAATACAAACACTAGGGACTTGTTGTGCTTTCCATATGTTGCGACTTTCTGAGAGCTCTTTCAGTTGATCCAATAAAAGTATTTTACCTCGTTAAGTAGCTGCACTTGTGAAGCTTAACCTATCGGTGTCGGGAATTATTTTAATACCCGAGTGAAAAATTTCAGCAAAATGTAAAACACTGCGAGACTATGTAGATATAAATTTATAGTAATACAACTACTGGAAGTAAAATTGTGATCCTAAAATATTTAACATATTGTTACGAAATACACCCTTACGCCGCCCCAGTACGACGCCTATGGCGGTCGAGAGCCTTCTGGACGTACGCACGGCGCTGATGGGTGAATCATCGCTGTTGACGGCCGAGAGGCGGGCGCATAAAGACAGGTCTGGAGCGTCTCGAAGCGGCGTCCAGGGGAGTCTCGAAGCGGAGTCGCGATGGATGTTCGTGAAGGATCTCGATTAGAGACTATGGGTTTAAATAGAGGCGACCGTAGGTAATGGAATCATCCAGTGAAGACAGTCGAGAGCGCCGGAATAATTTCTGTACATATTCGTCGCAATAGATAGTGTTGTAATTCGACCTGAAGAAATAAATTTTTTTGAGTTTTACCAACACCCGATTTATTATTCGTCCGTCAATCGTAACACTGGTGTCAGAAGTGGGATTAATTGTGAAATAAATCGGGATTCGAATTTGGTTGGTGCTACTAGGGGAGACCGGAACAAAGTGAACTTTCGAGAAAATTCTCTCCCGCGGTAAGAGTGGAATAACGGAATTAGACTTTCATCACCTGACATTGGCTTCGAGAATTGACATCTGTCAAGGCTCTAGAAGTTTCTAGAAGAAAATTTTATGCCGACTACCACAAGAGCGCAAACAGCCAACATGGAGGAACAACTGACAAAAATGATGAAAATGTTGAGCGAAAATCAAAGAATAATGGAAGAAAGTAGAAAAGAAGATCGAAGAATAATGGAAGAAAATAGAAAAGAAGATCGCAGAATAATGGAAGAAAATCAAAGAATAATGGAAGAAAGTAGAAAAGAAGATCGAAGAATAATGGAAGAAAATAGAAAAGAAGATCGCAGAATAATGGAAGAAAATCAAAGAATAATGGAAGAAAATTTAAAAGCTATGCAAACTACACTTTTGAACAGCCGAAGCGAAATCCTCCAAGTCGTGCGAAATGAAGTGGACGAGGTGAGAAATGAAATGGAAAACAAGATCAAGGAGCTCGAAGAAAGGTTGCAAACACCACGACCTACAATTGCGACCCCTGCAGAATTCAGTCCGGTGAGAGTTCAACCCCCTATTTTCGATGGGCAGACGTCGTGGACTACTTATAAGAAGCAATTTGAAGCTGCGGCCTTGTCGAATAGCTGGAATGACCAACAGAAAGCGACCGCTTTGGTAGTAGCACTACGAGGTGCGGCCCTGGAGATTCTACAGACATTATCAGAAGAGAACCAGAAGGACTATACCGCTTTGACGACCGCCCTCGAACTCAGATTTGGAGATGAACACCTCCGGCAAGTTTTCGTAGCGCAGCTTAAATCTAGGATTCAGAAGAGTAGTGAATCTCTTCAGGAGTTTGCGGCTGATGTTAAACGTTTGGTACACCTCGCCTATCCTGAAGCTCCGCAAGACTTCCAAGACAGACTGGCAGCAGAAACCTTCGTAAACGGCGTAAGAGATAGTGAGGTAAGAAGAGTCCTGCAAATCTCCGGGTTCAAGAAACCATCCGAGGCGCTGATTCGAGCGTTAGAAGTGGACGCCGCATACAACAGCTCACCTCGTTCCAACGTTAAGATACGAGGCATTGGGGTTGAGGGCGAAGTAAACCCTATTCAAGAGAGTCTCGACAAAATGAGCGAGAACTTTGAGAAACTCGCCCGCGAAATAATTGCCGAAATCAAGACGGGCAGTTCTAGACAACATGGAGGGCGCCTAGAATGTTACAGGTGTGGGCGTCAAGGGCATGTTAGGAGGGATTGCCGTGTTAGATCGCCAGCGCCGATGAGGAGATCGCAGCCGCGACCTCCTCTACATCAGGAGCAGGAAAACTAAAGGCAGTCGGTATCTCGGGGCGCGTACTGGCTGCTAAAAGAGAAGCCCCAACAACTGTAATGGTTAGAAGTATCGCGGGGAGCGTCGACAGTCCGACAATCAGCGGAAAAATCAATGGACGGGAATCGAAGATCATCATCGACACAGGAGCCGAAGTGTCCCTTGCACGCAGATCCAGGTTACAAAATTGCCAAATTAAATCAGTATATACCGCCACGAATGTAAAGACGGTGACAGGAGAAACAACACCGGTTCTGGGTACAGCGGTGGTGAATGTAGAGCTCGGTCGACTCCGAATAAGGCATGAAGTTCTGGTGGCGGAAATCGCTGACGATTTCATTCTGGGTATGGACCTAATCAGCCGGTATGGTTTAATGATCGACCCAGAACAGAAAATTCTGCGTTTCGGAGCCGAAGAATTTGTGTTGGGACGTCCGAATGTGGAAGCTGCAACGGTCAGACTAGTGGTCTGTCAGACAACGAAGGTAGATGGTAATACAGAAGTCATCGTTCCCGCCAGAGTAGAGACAAACCCCGGATACAGTTTGGGGATGGTGCAGCCGGCAAGTGACTCGACCCACAAGCTCCTGATCGCGAGCACCCTAGTCAAAACCGACCGTGACATACCCATACGTGTGGCAAACGTGTTTCCCAATGCAGTCAATATTAGAAAAGGGGAGATTATCGGAATGTGTGAGCCAGTCGCCCGAGTATTGAACTGCGAGGAAGAAGACGTTGAGAATGAGTCTAAGGAAGGGGATACCAAAGGCTTGGAGGTCAACTGGAACCAGCTGTCTGCTCGTGAGAGAAAACTGGCCAAAGGACTCATTCGTAGGCACCGTAATGTCTTCGCCTCAGAGGAGGAACCATTCGGGAAGACCAACATCGTAGAACACCGAATAAACACTGGTGACACGCAACCGATCCGTCAGGCTCCTCGAAGACTACCCCTAGCCAAACAAGAAGAAGCTACAAAACTCGTGGACAACATGTTGAGAGATGGGGTAATTGAAGAATCCAACAGCGCGTGGTCATCTCCAGTAGTCTTGGTTACCAAGAAGGACGGGACTACCCGATTTTGCGTCGATTACAGGAAACTGAACGACGTCACGAAGAAAGACAGTTACCCCCTTCCTCGAATAGACGATACCTTGACGACCTTATCCGGCTCGGCGTGGTTTTCGACCTTGGACTTGAAGAGTGGCTACTGGCAAGTAGGCTTGCACCCGGACGACAAAGAAAAGACTGCGTTCTCCACCGGAAGTGGCCTC